TTTTTTATTCTAGTCTTAGGAGCATTGCACCTCATTATTTTAAGCTTGCGAAATAAAGAATATATAACACTGTATAACAACTCTGTAGAAATTTTGCTATAGAGTTAAAATATCGAATGCAGTACTAAAAGAAATTCGAAATCGTAGACATTGTCTATATTGAAATGAACTTAAAAAAAGTTACACAGTTTTAATTCAAGTTTCATAATTTTTCGAAACCTTAAAATCATTGTGCAATGTTTAAGAACAAATGAAAAGAATAATAAAACTAAGTTCTGGAAACATCACAGATTTCATCAACATTTGAAAAGTACAGCAAGATTTGTAAAAATTTCTTAAGCTCTGATAACGTCAACAACCAGATTCCGAGAACAATTATTGTTGCCAAAAGAGATAATCTGATCTTATTTCCAGAATGTATTGATTGAAACTCTTTTTTCGCCAAACACTTTTATTCCAAAGATATATTTAGGATTTAATTTGGAAGTCTTGTTGACTCGCGAAAGCAATAAAATACCTATTCTGCTGGCTGGGAATCGACTTTCGTGTTATCAAAAGAGATATTAACTTGGCTTCGATCGCAGTATATTTTCAGGTTTTGTATGCCTGCCTCATGTTGGGTATTGTCAACGAATAAATATTGCTCCGAAATGAGCACATATATCAAAAAGAGGAGACATAATTCGTTATCGCGTTAGCTCCAGCTTCCAAACAAGCATAAAAAGGAAAATAAACTTTATATATCTATGATCTTAAAGTAGCTACAAAATTACAATTGTTTTAAGTATTACTCTACATTTACATGCAATTATTGCAAAAATATAATTTGTATAATTTCAGTACGCTACAGAAAGAATAATTCATGTAATTTAAGAATGCTACTATGATACTCCTTGATCTTATTTTTGGCACTTGTATCTAGTATTTGCAATTATGTTTTGGTTCGTAACACGCAGATTTCACGTCATTTCTGCTGTTGCGTTTTCTTCTATATTTTGAATCAACGGGTATAGCTTTTGAGAAAAAAATTGTTGCATGCCTTTTGTGATGATGCAAAGCTTTATTATAGATTAGAAAAATATTTCAAAATTCTGAAAAACAACTCAAGTCTTCAGTCAAAACGAAAGAGCGGGAAAGGTCTTTTGACGTTTTTAGAAACATTTAATTTTGGTCAAAATAATCGACTTCGATTAATATTTTAAAAATACTCTGTTCATTAAAGACACTTTGGAATTAAAATTTAAAGACACTTTGGAATTAATTTCTTTTTTTCTGTGTAAGAGTTGTTCATTCTTTTTAAATCTATTATTTATAAAACAAATTAAAAAAATACGGTATGAGAAATAAAATAGATATGCTATTATGAAACAGAAAAAATTGACATATTGACTAAATTAGAGTAAATACGCCTTAGGTATAAACAGGGATAACATATAAAATGATCGAATTTGAGATTATGGCGCAGTCGCATCCAAATCATGGCTATCTTCATACCTAAAATGACTAATGTTCTCCAACTGATATACATTTTACTTTAAACTTGCTGATTAAGACAGTGGTGTTATACGTATAATAAAATAGCTATATAACGTAACAGTAACTACTTACCTTTTCAATTATAAAGAAAAATAGTAATTAATCCTATAAATGTTATTTCTTTTAATTCTACATGTATAATTGAAAACCTTGTCGAATCTAAAAAGATTTTACAAAAAAAAAAAAAAAATAAATAAATAAGCAGTGACCACTTTTTTTAAACCAAAGTACATAAATGAATATGGGAGACTGGACAGTATCAGTACTTTAAAATTAAATGAGTGTCAAAATAATTCAGCGCGTTCGTGCCTTGAAAATCGTGAAAGGCTGCTAGACTTTATTACGCCACATGTTTAATTTCTGAACAGAGTGCTGAAACATACATCAGAATTCAGGTACAATTAATGATTTTATTAGAAATGCGTATATTACATGCTGGATGAACATTTAATTTTAATTTCAGCTCCATAAATTTACTTTTAATTAATAATTTTGTCTTTCACACTGCATCTGTTCCTCTTCAAACCCCATATACCATTTTCTGTTTTACTTCAGAGAAAATCTAACTCGCTATGATTACTTGGTAGACTCTTTGAGAAAAGATTAATTATATTAACTTCTAACTACAGGGTACTTCGCCTTTACCTAATGACCTTTTCACACGAAACATATCTAAAAAAATCATGACAGCAATAAAAATTGAAATTTTCTACTTGTCATTTTTTTTCTAATCCTACGTAGCGTGACAATACTATAATATTATAATGAATGTCCTACAGATAGAAAAATTCTTAATCCTTTGGTTAGTTAAATGGTTCTTGAGTTTTACTCATTTTTACTTATTTCACCATAAAAATTAAAATAAACTAAAATGTTTCTTTTTAAATGCTGTCTCTGCTACAATAAAGGGATTAAAGATTATGCTCTGAAATTTTAAACAGCAGTCGAACACATCTCAATGTACACTCCCCTCTTCTGTGACAATATTAATGCTTATATGCTATCTATGGCTACGATGTTTAAAATAAACAATAACAGTTGAATGAAATAAACAGTTGTTTATTCAAGACCAGCTAATCAGGTTCGGCTGTAGCATTTTTGGTTGCCTCGATGATAAGGACAATTGGCTCTTCAAATAAACTGAAAAATATTGATAATTCAAAGCAAAGTATGCTTAGAACTATTTTGCTTTTACTTGAGACAGCAAGCTAGGGAAAGTCACTATCTTAAGGCAGCCTGCTTAAGATAGTGACTTTTGGAGTCGTCCATACCTGGAAACTAACAACTGGCCCAGGTGCTAATTATTTGAATTTAGCAAGGAATAAATTGTAATCAGTTAATTCGTTTAAATGATGATTAACATTTTTTTCATTTGGATTTTATAATTGACGTGAACTTATTTACTTATATATGCATATTAAATGGACAGCGAAAATTTGCTTCGACAGTAATTGAAGTTGAGGCAAGTGAGCATTCCATCCATTAAGCTATCGAAGATGTCGACTTGTGCTTCTTAACTTCTATTTCTACTTCGTAAATTGAATTTTCTATTTAATAATTTGCTTATGAAGTCTGATGAATCCTCAATTTTTTAAGCTGTTTAATTTGTCTAACCTGCTTCCGTTTCCTAAACTCTTTAATTTTCAGTGTTCTGTATAGAAAGAATAGATAAGGTAGACGAATACGTTATAAAAATTTACTTTTTCCATACAACACAATTATGATTATTCCACGTTTATCGAAGAACAATTTTTGAATGAATTTCTACAAGTGTTTTACTGAGTCTAATTAATCATCGATACATTACAGGACAAATATACAAGAATTTTAATACCCGATTAATATAATTGCGTTATAAAAGTTGCCATGTCATACAAAGTTTGAACTTTAGTTTTGTTAGAAAAATAAAGTATTACTCAGTTGACTTGAAAACATATTCAATGAAAACTGCGTCACGCAACTAGAAGAACAAAACTATTTGGAAATTTGTAAGCCAATATTTGAAAAAAAAAAAAAAAAAAAAAAAAAAGAGCAAATTTTAGAAACATAAAGGTCGGTTTAAAAAATAATAATAAAAAAATCTGAAAGCTTTCAGATTTTATATTATACCAAAAGAGACTTTGGTTTTTGATTTACACATATATAACACGTTTCCAGAGCATTTGAGCTAACGCCTCTTTTGGGCTAAAAATGTTTAAAAACAGCATATCCTTAGAATTTCCGATAGACAGTCTCGCACGCTAGAGATAAAAATATATTATTCCGTACAGTGTGTAGCCACTGTTTGCTCTGAAATCGTTCAGTTTCTTAATCAAAAATTCGTTAAAGTTAAAAAACTATGAAATAGATAATAACATAAATTCGAAATTCACGATTCGGGATTTCAGCTGCACATAATCAGGTAAAGAGCTACGTTATTCAAAATCCGATGACTCTAGATATAGTTGTTTTTTCACATTGCGAAAAATATGCATATTCTACATTATTTAATTTCTTTAAATGTAATACAGAGCAATAATATTTGGTGGCAACGATTTGAAAAGTGATACAGCCGTTTATAGTGATTCGATTCAAAATATCGTATCGAGACAAATAACCCTTCTGGGCTAATGCCTCTTTCGTTCAAAATGACGATAAATCTCAATAGATAACAGTTTATTAATATCTGAAACAGGTTATTAATATCTGAAACAAACATAATTAGATTCAGATGAACGCCTACGCATGTTTTGGAAAATTACATCATCTTTGTTTAGAAATATTCATTAAAGGTTTAAATGCTGCTTTTAATGAAAAGATGATAATAGTATCTATTGACCACAGTGAAATAAATAACCAGATGTAAGGATGATAACTTTGACGGGTTTGGATAAATCAACATACAAATAAGACTGAAATTTTATATTGAATGCGGTTTCACTTTAACTCAGTAGTTCTCTTAGAACTTAATATTTTCGTCTGATCAAATAATTAAGTTTTAATGCGATATAGTGCCCCATCTGCTACAGGTTATTATACTTTAGTGAGTTAGACATTTCCAGTGAAATTACAACTGATCGAAGGTTCAATTTTCGCATTATTTACACTATGTTTTTACATTTCATTTATTTATTACTAGAGAATACAAAATTCTCTTTTTTGCTGTAAGAAATAAAGCTTTAATGAAGAATATCTAATTCAGATCATAAACTCTTTTAAAACGTTGCTGTAGCTTTACTAACCTTAAACAGTTCCAACAAAATAAGTATTACTTTTCATTATTACATTTAAGTATCGCTAAACATTTACTGTAAATCTTGACAGGTTCTACAGGTTCAAATTAAACAATCTGAATGTGTTTTTTAATACAAGATATACAGTTTATAAATTTATGAAAAAAATCAGTTAATGAAAAATATTTTCATAAAAAAACTAAGCTCTGTTGAACATTTTGTTTTTAAATGAATATAAGATCTTCAACTTACCTCACATTTTCATGCCTTTTCATATAGATTTTTTTGAATTGGCCAGTAACTACTTCACCCAAGTCATTCCTAATATCAGCAGCTACATGCGCCGGTAGAACAGAGAGCAAGAGTAATTCCTGAAAAACAAAATGCGTTGTAAAACATGGTATGCATAATGAACAAATTAAAGACAGGTTACATTCAAGCCTGAAATGACAAAATTATTTTTCATGACGACGGAGCATATAGAGTACTTGAACGTCTAGGCATGCCAATTTCAGACAGCGGTGTTACATTACGATATGGCGAATTCGTTGGAAATGTATTTGTCAGATGAATATGGATCGGATGGAACAAGTTGAGTATATTATCTAGATGCATCTAGTATTATCCTTTTAGAATACTTGTAGAACTAACAGAACACCAGTTTGTGGTGATTTAAATATTCCTATCATTTAAGTTCTGCGTTTTATTGCGGTATGGCTAATACGGCCATTAATTTCGCAGACCTTTAGTATTTGAATCATTCTCAAGGTCTTTACCATGACATATGTCTTTGCCACTCAAAGACTAAATACGAAAGTTATGGCAGAATGATTAACTCTTCAACTCGAGCAATTTTGAAAAGCATGAATTAATCTAGTATGTTAGAAATAGTGTCACATAGTGCAAAAATTCATGTCTGAGCATGCTTGAATTAAAGGAATGCATTTCCTAATTCTGCATAATTTCAAGGCGAAAACGTATAATATTTTTAATGGTATGCCAAAACAGAATATAATCTGAACGTGATCTATTCAACTGCATATACTGATCTGTTGAACTGCATGTACTGATCTATTCAACTGTATACTTAATAAGTCGGAAGTGCATTGAAAATAATCTACATGTGCAATATACAAAAAAAAAAAAAAAAAAAAAAGACGGAAATTTGGTAGCCTAAAGATGTGCAAAATTCTGTCTTAAAAGCTCCAAATCACAGATATAATATATTTGATATTGTTATAGGGTATTAACATCTGATGTTATTACAGGATATCAAGACTACATAAATTATGGACGGAAATAGTAATATCGACGTAACTGGCAAATTATTGATAACTAAATTTTGTTCAGAAACAAACACCTGATAGTAACTTTCTAGAAGTGGCAGGGGAAAACTTGTCTTTAACAGTACGACATTAAACTACTCACTGTTTATCTCAGATAAAGAAGGAGAAAATGCTGATCCATTAAAACTAATAATAATAGGTAAATGAGTGAGTGCACCGCTATGATGGCTTCTGATCACGGACACGAACCAAACGGAATTATATACCATCATGGCGGAGAAAATTTCAAAGTAACAAGGTTGAATATTACATACTAATAACAGTTTCTATAGCTTGATAACTGCAGGCACCAAGCGGTATTCCGATTATCTGTTTAAATTCTGAACATTTGAAACATAATATTATTCACGGTTGTTTCTGCTAACGCAGTGTCTTGAGATTTCCTCTATTTCACCATGGGCTACTCTGTTTTTGAGTGTGTTAGAACAATTAAAAAACAAAGAATAAAATAAAACCATAAATCGAGCATACTGCACAAGAAAATATAATTGTTTTGTCGCTTATTTAAAAGTCTAAAATACGGTCTTACGGAATAAATATTACAATATAAAATGACATCATATTTAATTCAGTGCGTAGTTACTTGACTTCATAATTAGTATGCGTTTTATACATGCTCCACATTGCAAACTAAGAAAACATTTTATTATTCTCTACACTTCAGTGTTTTAGACAGCATAACATTCCTAAAGAAGCCTTTTTTTTTTCATCTGCATGTGAGTATTCTGACAGATCACAATCATCAAAAACGTCAGAGTGTATTAGAAATCTGTAAATAGAAATTCTAGAACGAATAATATGCTATCTGCAGAACTAAATAGTTAGTGTTAAATAAAAAAAATAACTGCGGTATTCTTTGAGATTCCGAAAAATTCCCCTTTCAAAATGTGTATTAATTTTATGAATTAAATTAAGAGTCAAGCGATTTATTAACAAATTTTACGATAAACATATATATATATAATATATATATATATTGAAGTTAAAATATGTAATTAAAAAGGTAAAAGAAATAAAAATAAGTAGTAGAACCTTCTAATTTCCGTTATATTACTAATTTTAATTTGAACACTTCCCCTTTCTATTATAAAAATATTAAGTACTTATAATAATTTTCTCTGAACTGCATCCTTTCCATATTAATCCATATCATATCACTTTTCTCTCACGAAAATAACTTGCATAAGCCTTCAAGCAATAACAATTTTAGAGCTTTTTAAATTGAGTTGTCTGCTTCTTATCAAATCTGCCTCTGCTGCCAAGTTTGTTTTTATTATGTATATACACATATAGCAGATTTAAACTATATTTATTTCACTGCAATTAAACCCTTTGTGGCAATTAAACCTTCGTTCATATATATATATATATATACACATAGTGTATACATATGTGCATATGTGCACATATATATATATATGTGGTATTTACACACACGGTAAACACATTACACACACGGTCAAAACACACGGTAGAGCCCATTTAAAGCATAATTACTGCTTTATTTTTACTAATATTAAATAGAATGAATGAAAAGATGAATTAACGTGAAAGTGGTACAGCTGGTAATCTCATGGTGAAATGAAGTTCAACAGTTAATCGGGATCATATAGCGATGGCTAATACTCAGTCCTAAGAAATACATTCAAAGGCACGTCTGCCAACTTTGGGCTTAGCTATAGGAAAATGTCTTGGTAGGTCCCGTAGGCCGTCTGCCTGCTCTCATTCCATCTCACAACTTGAAGCTATTCGGATCTGTACGTTAAACGCGTCTCGCCCACAGCACTTCGAACGGTAGTCTGTACCTATGCGACACTATGTCATGGCTCTGCTAAGTTGAACGTTACATTATTACATATGTCATATATTATATTATCATATACTTAGACGTCGGATATAGAATTTAAATAATGCTTACTTCATAAGAAATTTATTACTTCTTAGTACTTCAGGATGCTTATTCTTGAATTAAATTCTCCTTAAATTACCTGTGATAATATTACAGCTGTATATAATTAATAAATTCACTTATAAGTTGCTGAAGATGGCAATGTAATAAATGCATATGCATTTCTGTTATTCGCAAAATAATTTTTCAAATTCAGCTTTTCTCTTTTCATTTAAATTGGTACGCTACATATGAATACAGATATATTAGCCCATTAAAAATGTATTTCGTATTTAAAACAAACTTCAGAATTTATGTAAAAATATTTGTAACTGGGACTTAAAAAGAAATTTGTTTACAATCTTTATCGTCATGTGTGATATCACATAATACATTAACAAATTCCTTTTTCCATGTTATTTATAAGTAGTATAAAAATGGGGGTTCTGCATCAGGTGGGTCAGTGGGTCAGGGGGCGTGGTCAATGACATCACAGAGGGCGGGGCCAAAGGCAACGTCATCACACTAGGAGGCGTGTTTTCGAGTGGAGTTGAGTTGTTGGTAGACTGCTGGTTGAGTTGTAGACCTCCTGCTTTTCATTTAAAGTTAGTTTTTTTTAATTTGGCAACGGAGTCATGGCGTCCTCTAGGGACGAAAAAAGAAAATAATTTATTTAGGAATTGCTTATGGCCCTCTCTAGGGACGAAAAAAGAAAATAATGTTTTAGAAGTTTCTTTTTTTTTTTTTTTTTTAAATGTTCTATTATTCAAAATATAGAATTGAACTCTCAAAAAAATCTCACCAGCTCAGTAGTTTGAAGATTTTAACCACTAAGCTGATGTGATACATTCAGATTCAGGTAAAAAAGCCTATTTAAGAAAATGGAATTTTTTTATTACTCAATTTTATTCTGATACTTTTATCCTTTCTAGTTTTAAATGAAACTTTAACTTATTTCTTAGGTTTTCTGTTCATAATAACATATTCATTTACTGTCATATTTTTTTAATACTTAACAACGTTTCTAATTTGTAATATTTTATTTAATTTCCACATACTATTTTTTTTCATACCTTTCATAAATTTCAGCATACCCTGATTTTTAACTTATATGTTATATTTCACAAACGTTCCCGCACATGCTGTTTATTTGTTACATTACTTAATTTTAGATGCAATTTCACACTTTTTTTAACGTTATAATGTTCAATATATTCTGAATTTTAACTTCATTTACTTTTTTTAAACCATTCTAGTATTCTATACACACTTTAACTTAGTGGTATGAAATTGTATTTAAAAAGAAACGTTTATTTTTCGTGATCTTAGTTCTTTTACTAAATTTTCTACAGAATTTCTAATTTTCTTTCACACGTGTTTAACAATATCTTCCTTACATTACCGAATATTTTTTAAAAAAAAAACTTAAGTCTATAACTGTTAATTGCTTTTCTTTTCTTACGTTCATGATTTCCCTTCTGTGTTTATATTTCTTAATTCTAGTTTAACTTATTTATTATAATGTTTTTTATTTCTGTCTCATCACTCGTAATTCCAACATTTTATCCCCTTTTTATTCATTTTAACGATATGGATTGTTTTCATTTACTCCATATTCAAATATTTCCTTACAATTTTTATAATACTTGTTTTATTCCTCGATCATAATAGATCATCTACAGGTTTTACTCAGAAATTTCCATTCACAACTTTACAGTTTAATACCATTTATATCTAAATGTATTTCTTTCTCATATAGTTTTATGGTCTTCAAAGTTTCTAACATCATATTTAGTTTTAAATCCCGATTACCTTTAAGTGTGTTGATAATTTTCATTTCTAATTTTACAACCACGTTCAGTGTTTCATCCACACATACCAAAATATTTCTTACATTTTCTGATATTTAGTCTATGTCATATTTCAGTACTTCAAATGAATTTACACTGCTCACACTATTATTTTTTCATGTTTTAGAGACACTAACTATACTAATTTTACTATTTTTCCTGCACTAATTGCATCTATGTCAGCACTCATGATAAACTAGCAATTGTTTTTTGCATCACATGCATAAAGAAATTCTTAAAACCAACTTTTTCAATATCGTACTCAAATTACTGTTTTCCAGATGGGA